AATGCAATGAAATACTACTCACCTTTTAAAAATTAGGAATTCTGTAATATGCAACAATATGGATGAACCACAAGGTCAGAGAAAGGCACTGCGTAATTTCCATTATTTGAGGTAATATTTGAAAATATCTAAAACTGTCAACTGAATATGATCAAAGAGTAAAATGTTGGATGTCTCAGTTTTGGATGAAGGGAAATTGGGAAGATGCTAACAGGCATAAAATTTCAATTCAACAAGATGAATATGATCTAGAGATCTACTGTACAACACTGTGCCTATAGTCAACAGTAATGTAACTATACTTAAAATTTGCTAAGTGGGAAGGTCTTGTGTTAAATATTCTTGCCACATAAAAAATAAAATTGGAATTTTATCTACTTATAGGGTACTGTTATCAACCCTATTTCTGGAAATGATATAAGTATTGAAGGAACATTAACTTCTTATGCCAAGAACCTTCCAATGTCTCTATGAAAGTGAGAAGGAATATAAATATAGAAACAGCCTCAGTCTCCTCATCTACATGGATATTTAGCTCTCAGGGCTCCTGTGAGAATGAAATGAGACCATGAACAGGCATCAGAGTTAAAATTAGTGACAATGAAGGCTATCTCATTAAACTACATTGTTAGCATCTCTATTTTCCAATGAAAAGCAAGGCCATCATTTTAGTAAAATCCTACCTCTCATGAGGATTCTTGGGTGGATGGTACAAACACACATCATGATTCATGAGGTAGGAAAGGAGCCCTAAGAAATCAGAATGGAAGGTGATTTCATCTGGAGACATGAGCTCTACTGGCTAAATGCCTGGCTATTGGCCACCACAGGAGCTGGGCTGTGTGGAGGGCCAGCCAGGAAGCAGCAACTCTCCATTCTAGGGACCATCCCAGATTAGAAATTTGTTCCCTTAAGCTAATAAAATGCGGCCCTAAAGTACTTGGAACATTCCTAAAGATTCTAAATATGCAAGCAGTCATTTTCAGAGCCAACTCCTCTGGCAATTGGCTTCTCTGTATGTAAAACACTCCATTATGTTTTTTGTCACTCCAAGCCCAGAACTCAATCCCAATTGACTCCAGAGTTGACACAGAAATCTCAAGTTATGAGATGCAGTTAATGGGTGTGAGGCTCTGTAACTGAACAGTCTCCCTTAGTAAAGCAAAATGTGAAGCCCTCTGAGGTTTTTTGTAGACAATAGCTGAAGAATTCTCTGGGTAGCAAGGAGAGGCACCAAAGAGCCCCAGTTCCTTTTCCTATATGTAGGCTCCATGGTATGCAGCTCCTCCCTCAGGATTTCAGTTCAACCATGAACCACAACCAAATCCATTTCTCATTGCTAATATAGTTCAACTAGATCTTTCAAAAGAAACTATATTTAAACTAAGAGGAACTCTCTTCTGGCCAGAACCACAGAGGGTGTCAAAGAGAAGAAAAAGAAGGTTGCTGCTGTGCCAGAAACTCTTAAGAAAAATCGGACATTTTGCAGAGCTAAAGGTAAAAAACCCGATAAAGAAGTTTACCCAAAAGATGCTTTGAAAGGCAAGGAGGAAATTCATCTATGAATGAGCTAGACACTATCATAAGGAGTAGAGACAGATGTACAGAACTGAGATTCGAATGGGTAGGATGGCAAGAAAAGCTGATAACTTTTATGTACCTCCAGAACCCAAATTGGCATTTGTCATCCAGATCATGGGTATGGATAGTGTGAGCCCAAAGGTCTGCAAGGTGTTGCAGCTTCGTCTTCACCAAATCTTCAATGGTATCTTTGTTAAGCTCAACAAGGCTTCAATTAACATGCTGAGAGTTGTGGAACTATTGCATTGGGGCACCCAAACCTGAAGCCAGTAAATGAACTAATAGACAATCCTGGCTATGGCAAAATTGCTAAGAAGGGAATTACTTTGACAGATAACTCATTGATTGCTCCATCTCTTGGTAAATATGGCATCATCTGCATGGAGGATCTGATCCATGAGATCTATACTGTTGGAAAATGCTTCAAAGAGGCAAATAACTTTCTGTGGCTCATCAAATTATCTTCTCCACGAGTTGGAATGAAGAAAAACATCACCTTTTGTGAAAGCTGGAGATGCTGGCAACAGGGAAGACCAGATCAACAGGCTTGTTAGAAGGATGAACTAAGGTACATACCATGGTGCTTTTATATTTTGGTCAGTTAATAAAATGTGTCTGCTTCCAAAAAAACAAAAACCAAAACCAAAACCAAAAAAAACTGAGAGTAAAACAAAAAGGAAATCAATGAAACATATACTTTAGCCAAGAAGCCACAAGACAGGTTTCAGATCCTGCAGTGACCAATTCACTCACAGACCCTCTCCATTTCAACATTAATGTTTGACTATTCTCATTTTACTATTACTCAGGAGCTTGTCTACTTTGCCCTGCACTCCTCTCAAACAAGCAGTTTTCTCTTCTGAAATCCAAACTTTTCCATGGACTCCTGTTGCCAAGTGTGCTCCTATTATCTGATTCAAAAGCTAAGTTTCATCCCTTCCTACCTTATTCTCACACCAGCTTCTGGCTATTTTGTCATGATGTACAAGGTCAGCTCCTACCTGCTCACTGACTCCTACCCCAACCCTCAAGGAATATAAAGGAAAGTAACACTTTTGTGTACCTACCATGAAAAGATGGGAAATGTCCAGGCAAATGATAACAAAAACTTAAGGGGATCTTAAAGCCTTTACCTATTGGAAGTTTGCAGGAGAATCTCAGGTTTGCTTCCCCTGCATGGACGCACTCCTTTCTTGCTATTTAAGAAATTTCCGTCTTTACTTCTGCCTTGGTTCAGAGTTCCCTTCCTAACTAAATGGCAGTTTTGTATCCCCACTGCCCTGAGCTACAAAAAGCTCTATGTTGTGCTTCAGTGACTTTTGGAGGCTCCTGCCACTTGCCTTGGAGGCTCTGCTCTCTGAGCTGTGCAGTCTTCTTCCTCAGCCAGAGGTCTTCATGCTGCATCTGGCTTTTTCTGTGCCTTGCCTAGCCAGGGGAAAGCTGTTTCAACCTTTTGGAAAGAAAGTTTATTTAACATATAGGTGTTGACCTGTATGGTTCCTAAGCAGAATTCTATAATAAATTTGCTGCTTGTTCATGAAGAAAATTGTAAGTTGAGATGTAAAGTGTAGCCTTCAACAGAAAGCCACAAGTGCATGACAGAAGTTTGAAGCAATAGCTCTTTATATATAAAGATGTCATCAGCTATGCTTCTGACAGGCCTCTGTGAATGTGCTTACAACAATATTTCAAAGGATTTATCATTACAGATAGCAGTCTCCTAAGGTGGAAGTAGTATTTACTATACAGAGGGCCCAATGCCATTTCTGTGGCTCATTTTACTTCTGAGACCCTGTCTCATTCACTTTTGTCCACAGCAGTTTAGATACCCAGGCTGTTCAGAAAAGCTAGATTGCAAAGGTTAAGTTTACTATGGAATGACAGATCTCTCTTATTTGTGATCTTGGACTACCTTTTTATGTTTCAATAATCTGAATCAACTAAGATCAAATCAGGCTTCACAAGTAGTTTCTATTATGAAATTTTAAAAAAAGTTTATACAGTATAAAATTTAGAAATACAAATTGAAGACAGAATGCAAGTAAGTAGTACTAAATACATGAAAATAAGTACCATCACTGGAATTAATCTACAAAAACCAATACAATTCTAGAAATTAGTAGTCATGGAATATCACAAAGACAAGCTATTCAGTTACTCACTTTCCAACTTTGTCACACTAAATTCATCATCTTCCTCACATATTCTCATCAAAGATGACCTAGAGACTCTTTTGGGAGGGGGAGTTAGTTTTTTGAAACAAGGTTTTGCTCTGTAATTCAGGCTGGCCTTGAACTCACTATGTAGCAGGCTGGCCTCGAACTTGTGGCAATCCTCCTGCCTCAGCCTCCTGAGTACTGGGGTTACAAGTGTGCACCACCACTCCTGGCCAACCTACTCTTAAAGAAATAATAAAAGTTTGTTTTTTTAGAACTTATATCTTTGATGATTCTGATATTGCTTATATTTTTATTTTTTCTTCTACAGTAATTGAAAATGGCTATTAAATACTTTGCATAACATATCATTTGAATAGCTACAGTACTTGGCATATTTTGATATTGTAAGATGACACACTATATACATTGTATTTATTTACACTATATACCTTGTATATATTGTATATACATTGTATTATATAATTAAGATCAATCTTTAGCCATAAAAATTCTTATTCCAAAATTTTAATCGCCTAATTTCTTTTTTTGGGGTACTGGGGATTGAACTCAGGACCTTGCGCTTGGTGCCACTGAGCTAAATCCCCAGCCCAATGGCCTAATTTCTATACCTCCAAATAATTACTTTCAATATTAAAATATTAAAATATCATGACAACTTACTGGTGTTCATTTATAACCTACTGATCCTATTGATTATGATTTTATTATTATGGTTGGTATTCATGGCTCTCTATAACCTGGGACTTTTCTTACTCAACAAATTTCCTTTCTACCACTCAGTACCATGAACCTAATCAAGATAATACTCTCAATCTTCCATGAATCTCATGCTCATTCCCATCATTATTCTTTTATTTATATCAATCCTTCAAACAAAACATACTGTTCCTTTATCATCAAAATTTTATCTACTATTATGATCACTTAGAACATAATACTTAGTTACTTGTTAAAAAAAGGAAAAATTAGGACCTTGCTTCACATACCCAAAAAGATTAGATATAATAAAAGCTCTAAAAATTAAAGTATAACACAGCTAGAAGAAAATACATGCAAATATTTGAACACAAAATAGTCTAAAGTCAATGAAATAGGTAAATGATTACTAGGTTCTATACACATTAAAACCTGAAATGACTGTACAGGATGATACTTTTCTTAGCTCCCCTTTCCAAATGTTTCAAAGAACACCTAAAGGCTTTTTACATCCAGTAAACTAAAAATATTAGTCACACATGGTTTAATAAGGATTTTCACAGGTTTTATTTTTAGGATTTCGCCTTGTTTTTACTGCTTCATTCAATATCTTTCTGTCAGGTATTTTAAATGTTGTACAACAAATGTTTTTATTATACCCCAACTACCTGCTAGGAAATGTGCCAGAGATTAAGAAAATATGGATGTGCAAAAGACACAAGGTCTTCTCATAACAAAACTTTTAAGCCCAGTGAAAGACAAACATTAATGAAATATTCATAAAAACTGTGGTTAAAGAAAATTAAAGACACAAAGCATATAAAAGAATACAGAAGTCTCTGCCTGTTGGAGATGTGGGATGTGTGCCTGTCAAAGACTCTGTGTCTATATAAACTGTGAGCTCTTCTAACAGCCGGGACTGTATCTTGAGTATTTTTTTATTGTTTACCTTTCTGAATCTCACACCCTAAGACTTCTACATTTGTTAAATGATTTATTCCCATTAACATTTAAGGCCAGCCTTTATTAACTACCCTTTTTTCAAAGGTACACATGAAATCAGCTTTAGAATGATTTATAGTTTAAAACATACTTTAAGAGAAATTTAGAAAGATATACTTTACTTTTATTCTTAAACAACTTGAAAACTTAACCTAAGTTATAAGGTGATTTCATGATCAATATGATCAGATTTAATGGTAAATACTAAACATTAAAGGAATAACAAACTTACATACAGTTATTAGAACTACTCACATAATGTACTAAAAGTTATTAAAATTTTTTCAAGAATTATATACATAGGTTGCAAAAATGTTTTCAAAAGCACTATTTTCATACAGTATATCCTGGAAGTTTGTTTATTACTAACTCACAGATATCTTTGCATTGCTTGGAAATACTTAGTGGTCCAATGTCATCATCATCTTCTCCAAAGTGATCTGATGTACTGTTATCCAGGACCTTGAGTTCTAGTTCTGACAAATTAGATGGCAAGTATGAACTCAACTGAGATGTCCGTGGTGAATGGCTTCTCTCTAAAGACTTGAGACTAGTTCCTGCTTTAATAGCGACACCATGACCGTTCTTTATAATCTTAGAATTATGCATACCATTTTGGTCCATCTGGTTTTCTTTTTCAATTGAATGTGATGAAGATAAATTACCAGTAGAGATACTAGATGTTTCCTCCAAACTTCTGTCCTGATTCTTTGAAAAATAAGATCTTCCTTTTGAAAGTACTGGTGATCCAGCAGAAAAAGGTGGGCTAAGAATAGAACTTTTTTCACTGCTATTTTTCCTTATGGACAATCTTGCTTCACTAGACTTACTTGTATATGAACCATGTTTTGGATTCTTTGCCTTTGAACTATTATCATGAGCTTGTAAACTTATTAAACTTCTGCTAGTATCCTCAGTGGTGTGGAAATCTTCAGAATAGCAAGGGCTGGTGAAGTCATCTGAATACTTTAGTTCTGAGATGCTTTCATAGAAACTATTTTTACTTGGTCTATTTTCACTCTTATCAGCACCAAGAACATCACTGTCTGTTGATTTGACCTGCCCACCATCTATTTCTTTATCTAAAGTTCTGTCAACAGCATCCGGTTGGAACACATATGGATTTTGGACACTCTTTTCCAATTTTCCTCCCAAAGTATTTGTGTGAGTAAATCTTTCTGGAATAATGGAATTTTCAGGACTTACAATTCCCTCCAATAAACCATTTTTGGTTCTATTTTGACCACAATCAACTGTCCTTTCTTCAGTTGCTTGTTTCAGTTTAGTCTCCTTAGTCGTGCTTGGCTCATCAAAACCTCCACTAATTTGCCTTGAGGTATTACTGTTTTCAACAAGAGATGCATCTCTATCTAAACAATTATTTTTAGGAAGTTGTGGCTGGTGACTTTGTTCTGCAAAACTTTGCTTTTTAACTTTGGATGGTGTAATTCTACATTTAGTACCTAACATTTGTGCTTGCATTTTTCTATAGTGTTCTCTCTTTTCCTGTACTACCAACATATCAGGATTTGTTTGCTTTAAACGTAGTCTTAGTGTATTTGTTAAGCCATAAAGTAGCCTCCTCCTTGTAACTCTTATTTGGGAGTTTCCACTGCTCTTTTCAAAATATTTATCTTTCTTAAGCTTTTCAATTTGATTCTTTTTACACTGAAAACTTGCTGACTTTTTATGTTCTCCCACAGAAAGCTGATGCTTCTTGGATTCAGATTCAGTGGACTTGGCATAAGATTCTGGCACCTGGTCCTGAGTTCTATACAACCAGGCTAAATGAGGATGTACATCAGTAGGACTTGCCATGGGTTGGTTGTATAACAATGACAACTCAATTAACAAAGCATTTAACAAAGGTAACTGCCTTATTGTATTAATTGTATTTTGGTCAATTTGAGGACATGTGGTTTGATTACTTGCTCCTGTATCTTGACTAGGTGGAGGACTTACAAGCACTGTAGCTCTCTCTTGTGTTGCCGAATTTGTAAGTTTTAGAGGACTTGGATGCAGTGGAGAATTTACAAGGCTTTTTTCCGGAAAAGCACCATCTAACTCCACAGGTACATTCATTTGCGGCTCAGTTATGATTTTAACCCGTGCCGGAGGCGTCTTTTTTGGGGTCAAGTGAGTATAATAGAGAGGAGGAGGGCAAAATGTGTTGGTTTCGAAGTCCAACTCTGCGACTTCCTCATTGAGGGGGTTGACACTGCTACCAGCCACAGGAGCAACAGTAGAGCAGGTTCTGAGGCTCTTAACAAAACTTGCGGTATCAGAGGTGTTCTTGGAGCAGAAAACTCCTCCCATTCCACCATCCTGCCGCCCCGCTAGGGCCCCTACAGTCTGGTCTGCATCCCTGGGGCGCAGCTCCGGAGCCGACGAAGGCCGTCTCTTCTCCCGTGGGATGTAGGGCGCCCGCTGCAGTTCTCGGCCCACTACTGTTCCCTCCGCCCCTGACGAAGAGGCGAGAGGGACAAGTGGCTCTAGAGAGCCTAGCTGGCAGCTGCCCAGGTCAGTCAGACGGTAGAAGAGCGCCAAGTCCCCGATGCGCTCTCCAGTGCGGCTGAGCAGGGCGAAAGTGCCTCGCCGGCTCTGGGCGCCCAAACGAGCGACCCCGACGTCGGCCAGCTGGACGTCGCAGGCCCCCAGCAATCGCGGGGTGGGCGCCCGGCCCGCCGGCAGCTGCAGCAGTGCGGCGCGCAACAGCAGGCAGCGTGGGGCGGCGGGGTGCAGGCGGAACAGGCAGGCTTTGCCGCGCCCGAAGCCAATGACATCGCGCTGGGAGCCCGGGACCGGAGTGGCGGGCGGGTGGACGAGCAGCGGGGGGAAGTCCAGCAGGCAGAAGGACACGGCGGGGCATGGGGCTCCCGGGGACGATGGTCCGGCCTCCAGGCGCACCCAGTCCACGAGCAACTCCAGGGAAAAGAGGCGCTCAGCCTCCACGGCCGCCATTGCCGTTACCTCCGAGACGCCACTGTCCGGAAGTCGAAGTCCTAGACTCGCGAGAGGTGAGGAGAAAACAGCAGCGGGCGGTTCTCTCGCGAGACTGGAGGGCTCTCCCCACCCCTCATCCCCGCGGCCCCTTTGCCCCGCCTCCTGGGCCCTGTGTGTAGGACTGCTGGTGAGCTCCTTTGCTTCCTGACGTGTGTGAGCACTATTTGATGAGGAGCAGAATGGGCCTTTTTTTTTTTTTCTTTTAAGAGAGTGGGGTTTACCACTACCGATGCCTGCAATTTGGGAGTCAGGTCAGAAAATTACTCAACATTCCCCCACCCCCACCCCAGACTTCAGAGCCCACTAGCCATTGCCTGCAGGTAGCCTCCTGCCTGGGATCCCTGTTCATACATTGTGTGGCACCAAGACACACTCACAGAGTATGTCCTCTTGATGGACTCTCTGACAATTTAAGTAGGTCACCAGAGCCCTCTTCCCAAGGTGTCTGACCTCAGCTTCAATCCAGAGGGTCAGAATCACTCAGTTGTACCAAAAATCCTGATAAGTCAGTTTAGAGAGAACAAGTCACCCTTCCATTCTGATGGAACCCCCTACACACACACACACACACACACACACACACACACACACACACGCACACTCTTGATATCTGACCATCTGGCCGTCCTTCAGCAAGAATCTTATCAAATCTGTTTAACCAGCATCTCCTCCATTCTCCATGGATACAAACTCACTGATAAGAGGCTGGCTGTATAATCATCTGTACTTGACTGGGACAGAGGGAACTAGAGATGCTGCCTGCCAGGAGGAGGATCCACAGTTGAGGAAGAAGAGTCCGTGTGAAACTAACTAGGACGAAGTGGAAATCCATCTTCTTTATTTGGGAATACAGATGGTCCCCTAGTTAAGATTTTTCATCTGTACAATGGTGTGAAAACATACCCATATAACCATTGTGTTTTTAACTTTCAGTTCAGTATTCAATAAATTATGTAAGATATTTACATAAATACATGTCAAATTACATAAGACACTTTGTTATAAAATAGGCTTTATGTTCAATGTGTTGTTTAAAATAGGACTAATGTTAGTTGATTTTACCCAACTGTAGGCTAATGTAAATCTTCTAAGCGTGTTTAAGGAAGGCTAGGTTAAGCTGTGATGTTGGGTAGATTGTATTAAATACATTTTCAGATTTTGATATTTTTAATTTACAATGAGCTTATCAGGGCATTATAAGTTGAGCATCTCTAATTATTTACGTTCCTTACTTCATTTCCTCATTTAAAAGAATATAACAAAAAGCTAGAATATCTGTAAAAATAAAACAAGACATAATTCCAAAAGGAATATTTTTTAAAAAGGAAATACAATCTGCAATTTTAAGAATAGACATACGAAAAAGCTAAGTTAAACACCTTGACCATAGTTTAAATCTTGTGGCAAATGCTTATTTACTATGGTAAGTTTTTTTTCTTTCCTTAAATTCTTTTATTGGTACATTTTAGATATACATTTACTTTTATCATTAGGAACTTGTACCTGTACATGATGTATCTTGGTTCTTATTTTTTCCCCATTCCCTGTCCTCCCTTCACCCCCTCCACCCTTGCCTATTTACAAAGACTTTGTTTCCATTTTTTCCTTTTCTCATAATTTTTCCTTCCCCTTCTTTCCTTTCCCCTACCCCTCCCACTTCCCCTACCCACTATGGTAAGTTTTTGAACCTCGCTCTTCAGAATTCCTGGAGGTTGACGGTGTTCTAAGAAGTAGGGAGTCCTGCTGCAGTCTCTTTGTTCTACTCCACAGACTCCCAAAGCATGGCATCTTAGGGTTCTAGAAACTTTTAGAGCTTTCAATGATACAAACAGCCTCCTGGGGCACATGTGCCATAGGTCTGCCACCACTATTCTGGAGCAAGAAGATTTTGATCAAGACAAGCAGACACCTGTGTATTAGGTCCCTGGCCTCAGGCCCCAGTTACAAGGCAATAGGTCCAAAGGTTGATCACAGTTTTATTAGGAAGCTACTGAGACAGTTAAGGGAAGAGTAGCTCTGGGAATGGAATGTGGATTGGAGCCCCACTGTCCTCAGCTGCAGTGTTATCTCACTAGGAGACCTGCAGCTTCACAGATCCAGACTTAGATCTCCATGGCAGCTGTTGGCGCAGAAGCTGTACTAGCCCTAGGTGCCCTCTGACATGATCCTGTGAGTCACATAGGCTTTGGTCCAGCTCCGGATACATTATAGCCCATTATGAGGAGAAAATGCCTGCTCCATATTGCAGCATGCTCTGACTTTAGTCATGGTGGTCTGCCACATTTGTGAGCATTCATTTAGTATGTGAGATAAAATCCTACATGGAAAGACATCCTGCCCTAAGACTCAGTTAGAAGCTCCAGGAATCTTAAACCAAATACCTCCCTCTCCTAACTGGGTTACAAATGAACTTTATATATATTAAACCATGTAGATTACAAGACCGTTAATAACATTGACCATAACATATTTTGCCTTTGGTAAAGATAACAAAACTTTATTTTTAGAATGAGTGTCCAGTGTTTGAAAGTGAATCTCTTCTAATTTATTTCAAGCCTTTTAATCTCTTTCTCTTACTAAATTTCTGCAGAGGAGGAAGTCATAGGTTTTCCATATGTTGTCCTTAAATTAGAGGCAGAGTTATGATCAGAGTCATGATCAATACTTTCAATATAGATATGAAATAACTGTTGAAAATAAATACAAATAACCTTTTAAAATATTCTGTAAAATGGTATCAGGGTTCTTCGTTACATTTTCAGTTTTTGTTTTGAACCCGTTAGAGCCTAATTTTGGAAATTCACTCACCAAGGAAGGACAGTGGAAGTCTGGAGTGTGGGGAGGAAGGAAGGGGCAGTGGTTGGAGAAGAAACTAAGGCAGAACTGGTGATTCCAGGGAAAGTGTGGCCTAAACCCCACTCTGATAAATCTCTCTTCCAGAAAGGAAGGGGAAAGAGAAGTCACACAGCACCTTAAGGCACTGAAAATTGTCAGTTGATGAATAAACTATGAAGTATGTGTGGCTGATAGAAGTGGTAAGTGAAAGTGATTTGACTGTCATTGGTGGTTAGAAATGTAGTCTAGTGGAGTCAATGCAGGCTTAAAGTTAAGTAGTCCTGGATTAAAATATCAGCACGTTCATTTCATAACCATGTAGCTTTGGCACAAATTCACAAAGTCTGGAGATTTCCCCTCAGATTATCTCATACATTCTCAACCTGTAGTGTACATGTTAAAATGCATATCCTTGGATCCCCATTCCAGAGATTTCCATTTACTCAAACTAAGCCAGGTCCATATTGTAATACTAGTACACATTGTAATACTAGTGTCCCAGGTAATTCTGATGCAGAAAGCCCCTGTGCTAGTAGTCTATGAGAACCACCACTCTAGTTTCTGATGCATTGCCAAAGACTATGTTACTATTTGAGAAGTTTGTAACAAACTGAATATATTATCATGCCAATAGAACAGCAGAAAAATTTATGCATTTATGTAATCCATGTAGCCTCCTTCAAGGTAAAATGGGAGAAATGGAGTGGATGGCCTTTAGCTGGGAAGTATCATGTTAGCATGACCCAAGCTAGGAGGTGCCAGTGTAGCAGCAGCAGCAGAGACAACTTGAAGAGGTTGCAGAAAGTCTCTGCGGCTGGATTATGAGGTTCTTGCCCCTCAATGGACTGAGGCCTTTGTACAAGATACTGCAGTCCTTGTCCTGCTCCAGTGAAGACTGATTATAGGTGCCTTCCAGCCTTCACTGAAGGGGTAAGCTGAAGGATATAACCTAACTCATAAATCCTTTTCTTCCCATGGAAATAGACACTGTTAGTTATTCTGACCTAGACTGTCTTGTCAAGACTAATGTACATAGCTCCTCCATTTAATGGAATTAGGTTTAAATTGTGTTTATTTTAAATTACCACTGATATAATTTAGACTCCTCTAAAAGATAGCCAGCTGCTATTTTCATAATTAGTAAGACATCTATCTTTTGAAATCTGGGAAATAAAACCAAAAGTCTTGATAACTTTATCAAGCAGACCAGTCCTTTAGGAGACTCAGACCACAGACTGGAGCTGAGAGTCAGCTCAAATAACTTTATACATAGCTGTCAGACTTGTCAAGGTTGTTGTATGTGCATGGCATTGAATTAAGTCCTTACAGGTTTTCTTTGTTTAATCTTCATGACAGCCCACAAAGTTATTGGTGTACTTAATAAAAGTAATGGAACTAACTTAGAAAGATTAAATAACATATATAATTTCCATGCCAAGTAAATGGTAACATTGCAACAGAATTCATTTCTGCCTATTTCAAGAAAAATAGCTTGTGTTCATCCCACCAGATTCCTTTAGTTTATTTGTCCATGCTCAAGGAAAACATTAATATATAGGACACTGAACTATCCATTTCAAGAATATATAGGAGGATACAGAGGACTATGATGGGGAAAATAACTCCCAAACTGTTAAATATCAGATATGCTGAATTTGTGGTCTCACAACATCGAGGAATGAAGTTGGGAACCAAAGGGAGAAGTTAGGAGAGTTTTATTGGAAATAATAAGAATAGCTCCTGGATTTCCAAGGAAGGTGGTGAGTGGGTGGCTGCTAAGGATCTTTGTCAGGGGTATTTTGTACAGCAAAATCACAATGTGGGTACTCTCTTAAGTGAAGGATGGAAGGCACACTAGCCAAGGCACCCATACTCAGTCTTCACTGGAGCAGAGCAAGAACTGCAGTGTGTGGGTTAAAAGGAATCAACCTATAGGATCACAAGTATAGTTGCTTAGCTAAAATTGATCCAATAGGGAAGTGAGGCATTTAGCAAAGGTATATGGCAAACATCATTCATCATTAATTTTATAACTTTTAATCATAGAAAGAACAAAAACATTATTGGAAAGGGATGAAAGTATGGGTCCAGATGTTCTGGTCATCCACCTATGCATCTGATGCCTGTCTGATCTCACTGGACCAGGTGGTGCTAATTTCAGTATAATCTCAAGTTGCTGTTTATCTCTAGGGAGGCTTGC